TAACTAACGTTTATAAATATTATTATTACTATTATAATATATAAAAGGGTAAATAAAAAGGTAAAGCCGGTTAATAATATTGGGTTAAATAGTAGTACTTTTAAAGGAAATCCGAATTAAAAAGTAAGGAAATAGGTAGTAATTAAGGAATCCCTATAATACGGCTTAGAATTTAATAATATTATAGTCCTTAAGTTTTTTAAAATAATTAAAGGGTTACGCCTTACTCTAAAACGCTTAACCGATCTAATTAAATAAACTATTAATATTTTAATAAATTAAGAGATTAAAGTATTTACGGTAATCTTATTCGTAAGGGAGGTTATATTAGTATAAGACTTTACTAAGTGTAAATAGATTTTTAAAAAAGTTTTTTTTACTTAATATATTAGGACTATCCCTTATAAAGCATAGTAAAGTAAGTCTATTCCAATCCCAAAGTTACTCGTAAAGAAAGTTATCGATCTCTTTAGGGAACGAATTAAAAAAAATATTATTAAAGAAACGTATAGTCCTTACCGTAATAATTAGTTCCTAATAAAGAAAAAAGATAGTAGCCTCTATTTAATTAACGATACTTAAAAATATAATAAAATTATATAACGAAATACCTTTATCCTATTAAATACTAAGGAATTTAGTAAGGACTTTATAAAGTACCTTATTACTTCCTTACTTAACTTCTTTTCCGGATATAACTAAATTAAATTAGCCCTAACGAGCCGAGACTTTACTACCTTCGTAATACCTATTAGCCTATTTAAGATATATACCCTACCTTAAGGAACTACTAACTTAATAGCCTAATTCTAAAGAGCCGTAACTAAAGTCTTTTAAGATCTTATCCTATAGGTATATCGGCTATACTTAAATAATATTATAGTAAAAGGGCTAAGGTAGGACTATAATAGTAAAAAAGAAAGGTTAGGAATTAGGAAGTAAGTCCTAAAGCACTTAAAGAATATCGACGCAGTCTTACTTAACTATAAGCTTACAGGAACTATAATTGCAGCCGTAAAATCCCTTTAGTATAGACAAGAAACTATTATCTTTAACTATTCCTATATACCGGACGAGCGCCTCCCTAATTAAATAAAAATAATAAAAATAAGGGAATAGCGAACTTACTATAGTCTTAAAAATATTCGTGCTTTCCTAGGGATTATCGGTTATTATCGACTATAGGTACCTCTCTTTAATTTAATCGCAGTTCCGCTATATTTCTTAATAAGGAAGGATACGAAATAAAAATAAACGGAAGCTTAATAGGATATAATAAAGTAACTTACCTTTCTAATTATAGAAGTACCGTATTTAACTTCTTTAACGTTTAATAACGACCGTTTCAGTAAAATCTTTATTATTTTTAATATAAGTTTAACGGGGTAGGGAGTAGTAATTAAATAAGTAGGACCTAATGGAAAACGGTACCCTTATTAGTTTAAAAGTAGTATTTAAAGCCCGGCTAAATAAAAATATAATACTACTAAGAGGAAGTTAAAAGGACTATTATATACTTTAAAGAGATTTAGAAAGTATTTTTTCGGGGTATACTTTACAGTAGAAACGGATACTTAAGTAGTAATCCACTAAGTCCAGGGGGCGGCTAATAACGTTCCCGGCGCTTTAATAATAAAATAGTTAAGATAGATTAGACTTTTTAATTTTATAATTATTTATATCCTTAGGAGTAAAAACCTTATAGTAAATATACTATCGAGAAAATTACCTAGCCCCTCTAATCTAAAGGAGAAAGAGTTAGAGCTAGATATTAATAATAAGGTTAACGTAAGGATTTAGAAAAACGATATCCAGGAAATAAGTATTTAGCGGATAAATATTAGGAAAAGGAAAAAAGAGGTTATTAAGTAAAGCCCCTACTTAAATAAACTATAATCTCCTTACTCCTATACTATCGCCGAGTTCTTCGCGATTAGTACGGAGTTAAAGGCTAAAACGAAGTTTAATATTTAGACTATTAAGAACGACGCCCTAAAAATAATAGAAGAAAAGGGATATATATTTGTTAAGTAAGGTGGGGGAAGGTTTGCTTCTAAGAGAATTGTTAAGGGTTTAATGGAGGCTAAAAGAGTTTTTAATATATATTATGAGCAAATAGGTATAAATTGCTTTAAGTAGGTATGGGCAAATTATAAATTGTAGTATTATAATTTTAAATATGCTAAATAAATGTTAAATTAATTTTTTTTTTTTTTTTTTTTAGGCAAGTTTAAAATTTTAATTTTATTTATTATCTTTAATTGCTTATTGCAATATATTTTTTTTTATTTTTGTAATTT